CCCCCCCCCCCACCCCTGCAAGGCCTTGAGTCGCTCTCAGAAAGACGAGAGTCAGTGTATCGTGGGAAGATACACTTTGGCACACCCTGCCCATCTCAGGCTCTTAGGCGCTAGACCCTCTTTGCTTCTGGGCTCTCGGCAGAGCCACCGTACCAGACCGATTTCAACACCGCACTATATTAGTGCGTCGCTCCCCAAGAACTACGGGCGACTTAGCCCGACCTCTCTGTGATCGAGGAAAAGCGAACTATCCTTGCCCTAGGCTCCATTCCCCCATCTCTATCTCCCCTCCCCAGCAAGATCCGCGCTCAAGGACTCGGCCTAGGAGCTCGCATCACACACTTAACCATAAACCAACCTTTGGTCTTGCAAACGGCGCTACTACTGCCGCCGCCAACAACATATACTGCCGCGCCGCCGCAAGTCTTGTTGCAAGCGCTTCAGCCATATTACACTTCTTTCCCCTGCTACTGGCAAACACCAACTTGACGCGGGTCTGAGCTAAAACCTCGCCGGCCATTTCTTTATCATCAGCCCCGTGGAGCTGTAGCATGTCTCTGGTGCCAACACAGCAACCTCATACTTTTGTTGACAACCACGCATCGTTGCATTCTGCTTCCAATATCGCGAAACTTGGTTCCGAGGCGACCCTTGACACGCTCCTCAGCTCTCCCAACTCTATGGAACGAAGTGCTACGGAGTACTCGCAGTCAGGTTTGCCTTCGCCCTATCCAAGCAACTTCGGCGACACCAATTCTGAAGGTTCGAGGGCAGATCACGCATCTGCTGCGCAATATCCTGTCAAGCAGGAAGTCAACTATTCAACCTCAGCCACTCCCACCTCCGAGTACGGCGTCTATCCTCAGTCAGCCCGATCAGGATCTTTCCCAGAGCACGTCCAGCGTTCATACCACCCTGCCAGCAGCACCAGCACTGGAGGTATGGCGCAACAACAGAACAGTCCGTCAATGCCCCAGCAGGATGGGCGTAGCCATCAGACCCATCCGGTCAAATCTGACAACGATGTTCCTATAGATCCGTCCATCGCCGCGCCGAGCCCAACTTACGCTTCGTATGGGCAGCATTCCCCCTACGCGCCTAACCCAGACATGACACACAGTTACTCTCACCCCGGCGGCGGCATGTATGCGCAGCCTCGGCCAGACTGGGCTGGTTACCCTCAGCACGGAGGTGCGCCTTTGACTCCCGGCCACCCAGTTTATGCCCAAAACCCTGCTTCAGCGCCACCTCAAGCACGACCAAACCAGGTATGTTGGGACTCTTACAGACATGCTCAAGAGTGAACTGGAACGGGGAGAGTGCAATGCGCGCACGTTGAAGATGTGGGAAGCGCGTTGATTGTTCCAATTTTGGTTCAGCTTTATGGATTGCCTGCTACTCGACATAAGATCATTACTAACATTCTCAGGTTTACTCCTTCGTTCCCATTCCAGGTGCGCAACAGCATAAACGACCTAGGCGACGATACGAGGAGATCGAGCGCATGTACAAGTGTGGATGGAATGGCTGTGAAAAGGCCTATGGTACACTGAACCACTTGAACGCTCACGTTACCATGCAGTCTCACGGACAGAAGCGAACACCCGAAGGTAAGCTGCTCACGACTGCGCAGATATGTTTCTCGATGAGCACATATGCCTAACAAATGACTATAGAATTCAAGGAGATTCGCAAGGAGTGGAAGCAGAGGAAGAAGGAAGAGGAAGCCAACCGAAAGGCTGATGAGGAGCGACAACGCCAGGCTGCTGCCGCCGCTGCTGCTCAAAATGGAGGTGGCGATCCTCAAGGTCCTGATGGCACGCCTACCTCATCCTATCCTGGCCGAACAGTTCAGCTGCCTCCCATCGGATACCAACCTGCTCAGTACCCGCCACCACCTTCTGGCGTTCCACAGCAGCCTCTTCCCGACTATAACAACAGCCATATGTACTCGAATTATCAACCTCACTCACCTTACGCGCAGCCCAGTCAGGGCATTCCTTACCAATGTATGTCGCAGAGGCAGAGGGTGGCTTAGTGGATGAACTAACCAGGCTTAGCAAACGGTGGTCAACCCCCAAGCCACTAAGACGGATGGTTAAGCAAGGATCAAGGTACTAGAGGAGGAAACTCACCAAAAGTCAGAAAGAAGATTAATACCCGCTGTACTATATTGGAACGATCACTGTGCTTCTGAGCTGCCATCAGTTTGACCTGATGCGACCTTCAGAGAGCATGGTCGATTTGGAGGGGAAGAAACGCAATCAACGTTTACTCGGCCCGGTAATTACTCCTCTACTTCGACTCGCATAGCCCCTTGGCTGGTCCCAGACCTTCATTGGGTTTCCTGCATACCCTTTCAACTATTGGACCTTTTTTTCTTGGTTTCATTTCTTGGAGTTATACGTATATGCCCTCAAGAAGATCTTGAGATGAGGAGTTGCCAAATTCTTTTCATCAGCATCAGGCTCTGGTCAGGGGTGGGCGGTCCTGGAGGTTTGGCGTGTTTATTTGCATTTACGACGATCTGTTATGTTTGGGAGGCCTGTCCAACCCAACCGCAGCAATCTGTTTGCGGTAGCGGAGGGCATGGCCACCGATTTGCTCTCGCATATGTGTGGTCAATGGTGTGATGGGATTGAAGATATGTTTATTTATACGACGGCCTCACTTAAACTTGTCAAAGGGGCCAATCAGGGGGGGGTACGAATAGATGCATCGACAGTATATGATGATTGCATGGGCGGTAACATTCTGTGAAATGAGTACATTTTTTAAGCCACAATTGTTCAAAAGTTCCATGTTTAACTTAAATCGTGCCTTCTCCGTGAACAATTACATGGCCATTTTGGGCCTTAAATGAATCAAAGTGCGGAACAATAAAATAAGTAAACTTGTGATGATGATTTATTTACACTCAAGTCCTTATAACGGTTACTTCAGAATGCGACAAAGCTTTAGTGAACCGGTCTGTCGGGTCACAAGTCAGCCCTATCTCTTTTCAGAAGAGGCGAAATCGATCAAGACACATCGGAATGATGCTTAAACCTGGTTGAGCGTGGGTGGCGTGCCATAGTAGGGTTGTGTTGCACATAATACTGCAGCAAAGGGATAGGATGGGATGTGGGTGGTTGAGTTGTGTTGCTGTGTTACAGACGCTAATCTACGCGGATAGTCTCAAGTCCAAGTCAAGGGTGTGAAATAACAAAAGAGCCCAAAGGCAAGGATTGTAGATTGGGTGATGGTGGTGATGGGCAAGGCAAAGGGTAGAGAAGGGAAAGGTCGGGTAACACAAGACATGGAAGCGCCTGACGTACATGTGTAGTGCACGTTAGCTTATTAACAAGGAGGTGAATGGAAGTGGTCTGATCATGTCTCTCGGCTTTAAGCAACGCCAAGTGGAGGGGGCGAAAACGATATATCCAGCAGATCTATAGATTGGCGAGAGGCCAGTGTGTGGTGTGTGCGTATGCGTATGCGTCTGGTGTACGTATGCGGTTGGTGTTGATGACCCGACAGCCCAGTAGACTAGATAGATACTCGAGAGGATCTACAGCCGGGATGTGATGAAAGGGGGAATGTGAGAAGTTATGGGTGAAGTTGTATTCTACGGCGCTGCTCGAGGTCCATGCATCTGCTGCGCATATATAATATGGATACAAATGTTGGATAGAGTTTCATGATATAGACAAGGGTTGTAATGCAACTCGAGTCAGGAGAGAATTACTCAATAAATGCCATTGAACGAGAGTTAATGAGTCAGTCCTCTTCAAGGAGCACTATTCTGCGATGCATCTGGACACGATGCTCGCAGCCTTATAAACCACCGTTGAATGCAGATAAGCTACGGTGCTGTAACGTCTCATCGAGAAAGGGGACTAAAGTAAACAAGGGGGGCGTGTACAGCAGCACGTGCAAAAAGCCTAGCAAGGGGAAATTCCAACTAGAACAAAAAAGCGAACCAACTAACTTATACCAAGACCAAAGCGAAGCGAAACAAGGCGAGAAAAGTGCGTGCGTAGCGTGCAGCCAAAGGACCCCAAAGTGTGCGTGTGCGTGTGTGTGTGACTGATGCCGTTGCGGATGAACAAGGGGGCGACCACGCAGCGCTAGGAGAATTTAGCCGCTCGTCTTTTAGCACCTACTCACTGACGTTACTTGCAAGCCCAGCAAAGTGAATTGTCAGGTAACACAAGGAAAGACAAGAGGAGAGACAAGACATGGGCCATGCCCCTTTGTTGGGGTCTGGAATTGTTTCGTGTCGGTATATGCGTACCCCATGGAACTAAATTTTCGCATGGTGTAGAACTCTGTCTAGGCTGGTCTTGTTAGTTCCTTTGTCTCGGGACGTCAAACCAAGGTTCACACGCCTGAACGGCAATGGCTGGCCGTTGAATACATATTTTATACTTTCTCAACGGTGTGGAGATTTAGAGTCTGAGACGGGTGTGAAGTTTGATGGATTCAAGTACGTGATACGAGACTATTTGACGGGTTGTCTTCGAGTTCAACGGTATGAAACGATGATTTGGCTGTTGTGTCACAGACAAGGCTGAGGCTACGGAGCACACGGTTAAATTGAACTACATGGATATATATTGAAGTTGGCTGCATATGTCAGTCCAACCACAAATTAATAACCAGAAGTACAGTATCTAATTCTCCGGGATACTCTATACTCGTTATTGTGACCTTGGAATAAATTGCTGTCATGTTTCATCGTAGATGTGGGACGATTTATCTCTGAACGCCATCACACGCCACCAAGAGATTGTCCACCAGTATACTCTATACTCAATGATGCTCTGTTGTAGAAGAATACTCACCTGTTAGAGGAATCTATACTCAATAATTAAGGTGTTTCTTTCAGTAGACAAAATCCGGCAGTACGACTATCGGTCATCCCGAGCCTGAGCCAGGGTTTATGCACAAGCTCTGCATGGTAGTAAACTTACGCCGCACACGGACGCACGCAAAGCATCCTTGGCCGGCACTTACGGGATCCATGATAGTGGCAGTGTTTGCTCTAGCATCGATCCATAGCAGGGCTCTACCTCGTTGCGGTTAATGTGTGGTGACGTTGCAGGGAGCCAGGAAGGATGCGATGTCGAAACAGGGTGTGCGGTGGAGGAATAAACCATCGACTTTTGGGATGGAAGCTGAAAGGATGGTTCTTGGCGGCTATATGATCGTGGATATAGCGTATGTTGTGTTTCACATACAAAGCCTCGACTATTCTGGACTGCTGGGTTTAGTAACTCTTGGATAAGCCTATCGAGATGGTGATTGAGTGACCATGCAGCATCGGGTGCATCAGCATCACTACCGAAGTTGCAGTTCGAATCGTCAAATTCGCTTTGTATTCAGTTTCGCGACAGATTATCAGGTGAGTACAGCAGTGGGCCAAATAACCGTTAAACATCAAATTTGGAGGCTTGCGGGAATGCGGTTCGGGACGAACACAAGGCAGCCAGAAATCTAAACGTGCTTTTGCTCAGGGGATGCATCAAGTCAGTCCCATTGTAGGACCGATTACTTGAACAGATGCTTTCCTCTTAGTTCTCAAGCAAGTGCTGAAGTTTGAGATATCCATGACTCCAAGACTTGAGGGGGTGGCATGATACTCACAGTTTCACATGATACAGAGTTGCTGAGAAGATTTAAGAGTAATTTTTGCTTGTGAAGATATTCAAGTACTGTATTAACCTAATATCAAAAACTGGTCTTTGCGGTCAAATGACTTCTTTTTCGTCTTGCCGAAGTGATGCTCATAGTATTGACGAAAAAAAGCGGGATAAGGTAATATCAGGCAATCAGTCACCACATCACAGCCAAGTTCATACATTATCTCAGCGGTAAATTTGGGCCACAACTGCGTTGTTCGATAAATGAGCCGTCTCCGTTTATAATATCAATTTCCTTGATCCCGTTGTCTCAGAACGTCATTCAGCTCCTTCGTGCCTTTTGCTGATGACGTGCTGTCGTGCAAAGGCCGTGCCACGCGGTCAAAGAAAGTCCTGGATACGAAGAGAAATGTGAAGTCAAACACGCAAAGAAATCGCCATATGAAACCTGGAACCTTTATCGAATTTAGAAGGGCATCCCAAAACTTCACTAAGTTCAGGTAAAGTACCTACGGGTATCTAGCATTGTATCACATCTGATAAGGTTTCTCCCATTCATTACCTGGGCTGCCTGCTTTTTTTTTTTTGCTACCCCGCCATCGACCAATGTTTTGCGGCGCATAGCAATATCAGCCTCAGCACTGTACCTTACATCCCATCATATCTCGTACCAATACTGAGATACGCAGAAACTCAATACCAAGATTGGAGTAACATTATCCGAATATTCAAGATTATTAGCTTCCGTCGCTGGCTCCGGAAAGGACCCATTGCCGCCTTATCAAAATGGAGGGAGATCTCCCGTCCATTCCGTCACGACCTAAGGGTCTGGCGAAATCGAACTCAAGCGCATCTTTCGGCGGTGGCTCTGCAAAGTCCGTGTCAGTACTAGGAACACATCCTCTGGGCACTCTTCATGTTCATCAAGTCAGCGAGACGCCTCATGAGCAAGAAGATGATGATGGCCCTCCGCCCTTGGATCCTCCCTCGGGACAGAGTGAGAATACTGTGATCAAGACCTCCCAACATGGCTCTTCCAACTCCTTCCACAGCCCAAGCTGGGAACCCTTGACACACAACATGGGAGGCGGAGATGTGGTACTCATATTAGACTTGCCCGAAGTCTTCACGGTTGGGTACGACTCAATATCATTTACAGCTAAGCACTTTGGTGGCGTCAGGGATATACCACCAGGTGCTCACTTCTTCTGGGTCGCTCATCCAGGAGGTCTTTCTGCTCGGTGTGGTTTCTGGGTTGTCACGAACAGTGTCGACACTGTCCATGTTATGCAGTGGGATCGATACAATGAGGTTCTGGGTGACTCAGCTCGTGCTGAAGCCCGCATCCAAGCCGATAACCTCGACACTATTCACTCAAAACTCGTCCCTTATCAAGATCCAAGTGCAGTAAACACCGCCAACGGTGAACTTACTCAGGCTACCTCACACAGAAATCTCAACATGTGGGAGCAGTTAACTGGCAAGATCACAGAGGGCCTTCTCAATCGAGTGACAGGACAGAACTACGATAATTGGACAGTACATACCGGCGATCGTGTCAAAGGGTCGATACTCATGGCTGGCGAGATGGAGCTTGACAACTCAATCTCAAATCCATTGCTCAAGGCTCGCGAGCTCAACTTCGCGTTCAGCCAACGGACCAAAACATACTCAACAGATAACACCGGAGCCGACCGGACTTTAAGAGCCACGGATGCAACTCCTTATATCTTGTCGCAGGTTGATGCTTCTGATAATGATCTGAGCCCTGACGACGTTATCGGCGAATTCCAGTTCTCTTTCGTTGTAGGCGTCCACCTTGGTAACGATTCATGCATTCAGCAATGGTGGCATATGTTGCTGAAAATTTTTCTCCGTGCTCATCTCCTCCCCCTCAGTCGACCATCTCTCGCAGCTGCATTCATTCGCACCTTGACGGCCCAACTCACGTACAGCGCCTCCTGGCTTGAAGGTTCAATTCTTGATACTGCAGAGTCACAAACCAAAGATCTTCGACTTTCACTCACTGTCTACAAACGACGCTTGGACGAATTTCTGCAAGGCTTGGGGAATAATGCCACACCTGAGCAATTGGCTGTTGCTACAGCTTTTGCGGGACTTGAAGCTGTTGTGACTGGTACACTGGATTGGGATCTTCGCGGAGACTATCTACGTCGAGGCAAAGTCATGATGGAAGATGGCGAGGAAGTCGAGCTGGAGGTTGCTGATTTGGCAGCCGAAGATGAGCGAGGAGAGTGGGCACCAGAGATTGTTGATCTGGATGAGTCTGGACGACAACGCGATCTTGTCTCGTGGAACGACTAGATATGCTATTTCACAAGAATGCTTCGTGCTTCCAAACATTGGGGGAGACTAGCAGAGCCAACAACAGTAAGGGGTTTCCAGACGCGAAGGAAGAAACAGAGCGTAATGTGTTACCTTGTGTGTAAGGAGTAGCTCAGCATCGGAATGCAGTTGGATTGGCGAAACGATTGAGTTTACAAAGCTGGAGTTAGGAGTTGGGATTTATTCCCGTAACAGCAACAAAGTACCAAACATTTGGCTTCTATCAACACATTGAACGTATATTGGATAGACCAAAGTTGAATATGATAGCACGAAAGAAGGGTAGTGGTTTTGAACCACGGCCAGCAGTCCAACTGGTAAGTGACGCTAATTCGACTTGACAGGGCTTGCGAACTGCATTTGCTCTACTGGATTGCCTTGACTCGACGGAAATAAGCCTAGTGACGCTATTTTGCATGCTCTGATCAAAATTTGAAAACAGGTGTCGTCACATATGAAAAAAATGGAAACTGAGTTTCGGAGCGAGTCCTGCAACGAGGCAATTCATTAACATCACAGTGCGTAGCAGGCAGCATGGGCCGCGTCGTTAACTTTGAAGATTTCATTTGCCTGCCAGATCCTTTACAATCCGCCAAAAGCAAGACCATGCAAATGCTAATGGGAAACCCATCCCCAAACCAGGGAAATTGTGACTCCAGTCCCTTTTTCGCACTGCCCGTAGTATCCTCCACTGCACCAACACTCCGGCTCGACGCTTTTTTGCCCCATTCCGACAAACATCTTGAACCGTTTAACGGTAAGACTTCTGGAAGCGAGAGCGGGCACCCTTACCACCGAACTTCTTGGGCTCGCATCGGCGGTTGTCGGCAACGAGGAGGGTTCGGTCGAACTGGACGAGAGCCTGCTTGAGGAGGTTCTTGGAGTGCTCATCGACAAACTTCTGGTAGTAGGCGATCAGGGACTTGGCGATGGCCTGTCGGATGGCATAGATCTGGTATACAGTTAGTAAGTCGTTCAAATCGACGGAAAAGGGTAACCTTCTTGAGATGTATGGCCACCCCCTGAGACCCGGCAGCGAATGTCCACGTTGGCGAACTTGTCAAGGCCAACAACGAGAAGAGGCTCGTAGACCTAGGATAAGAGCGTTAACACTTTGGTTCCCAACAAGACACAACACCATCCGGGAGCATCGTCATTTCGAGTTCGATAATTAAACGACGTGCTTTCGTAAACGGTCGAGGGAATTCGTAAATCGTACCTTGAAGCGCAAGATCTCGGGCTGGACGAGCGAGAGAGGTCGTCCATTGACCTTGATAAGACCGCGGCCAGCCTGGAAATTTCAAGTCATGTCAGCTTCTCTGGCTCATTCTCACGTCTTTTGCTGGGAATTTCGCGTACCTTGCAGTGAGCAACGGCGGTGGCGGTCTTCTTTTTACCAAAACACTGCACTGACTGAGTAGACATGATTGCTGGTCTTGGTGTTGTCGTTGGGCGGCGGGCGGAGGTTGAAAGCGTGGTGATCTTTCGGCGGGAGTTTAGATTCTGTCTCTTTCGTGAAAGGCGCTAGTGCCGAGTGGGACCTTGCCTTTTTTTTTGGCCCAATAAGAAGAAGACCCACACACAGATCCAGGGCTGCAAAAAATTAAGACGCCATAGACAAAATTACATCAACGGACTTAGTCCTTTTCAGAGTAAGATTTGCACGCTCTTTTTTCACGGCCAACTCACATTTCTCCAAATCCATAGACCCTCGTTAGGGCACTGCACGTGAACACTCCGAGCATTGTGAGCCGGACTGCCCACCTTGACAAATTTTCGTGCGTCTAACAACTCACAGCCGAAGTTCAACGTTCTACTAACCGTCCCCTGTGCAGTCGTCAGGTCAGCAAACCACATCTATCATCAACCAAGACGCTTTATTAACATATTACAGAATGGTTGCCGCTAAGCACGTCAAGATCGTCAAGAAGCGTACGTAAAATCGACATTCCTTAGCGACAACACGAGCGAACGAAGGAGAGACGAGTGGGAGTCAAAATGCTGACTTGTGTGTGCAGGCACGAAGCGCTTCGAGCGTCACCAGAGTGATCGCTTCAAGTGTGTCGACCCCAGCTGGCGCAAGCCTAAGGGTATCGACAGCCGTGTCCGACGACGATTCCGCGGCACCATTGCCATGCCCTCTGTATGTCGAACCTTTGCGAGGCCTGATGAGAATTATCGACTTTCTATAAGGCGGGACGTGGAACTTAGTACTAATCCTGTGTGATTTCAGATCGGCTATGGCTCCAACAAGAAGACCCGCTACATGACCCCCTCCGGCCACAAGGCTTTCCTCGTCAGCAACGTCAACGATGTCGAGCTTCTCCTTATGCACAACCGAACCCACGCTGCCGAGTACGCTCTCCCTCCAATTTCACTCGACCAACTCTTAGCTAACCATGTTTTCAGGATTGCCCACAACGTCTCGTCGAGGAAGCGAGTTGACATCATTGCCCGCGCCAAGCAACTGGGTGTCAAGGTCACCAACCCCAAGGCGAAGGTTACCACCGAGGTTTAAAAGGAAATGGATCGGTTATTGGGCTGCTTTACGGTTATGCATCGGAAAGGGGTTTGCGTTACTTGCGGTTCTGGCACATAGCTCCATGGCATGCTAGAGAATAAAAACGCGCCGTTGAACGACAATGATATCTGGCATCAACCGCTTGAGCAGCAAAATCTCTTTGAGTCGGAAGTGACATGGAATAAATGTCTGATCCACTCGAAACTGATGAGGTCTCTGATGGGGGTTCGGGTGAACATATTGTGAATTGTGGATGAGACCATGAAAATAAACAAGACTCCCTATGAGGGCCCCATCTGCTCCCCCAATGCCCTCGAAATATTGACCGTTTCACTTCTGCAGCGAATCTTGATTATGTCGTCGGTGCCTACACAAGCCCGAACTTGGTTGCAATAATCCGCGAGGCTAGACAATCCTGTGGGTGTCTTCCCTGGCTCTTGGACACAATCAGGATAATGAATGATGAATGCCTGAGAGCTTTGTCGTTCGCAAACAGATTCATCAACACACTTCGCTGCATCTTCAATAAGACAATGCTAAGTTGAGGAAACCGTGACTTGATGACAAAGATCACAGCCTTGAAGTGAAGCAAACTGATGTCCATTAGGACGACATGATGAAAGTCTAGGAGAACCAACTTCAAACAAAATTTAAATACATCCCAAGAGCACGCTTCACTGCAACTATGCCCCTCTTAAAAGCTGAAGACTGATGCCTTCGTCTGGAAAAGGTATAAAGAAGAGTTTGTCCTAATGGTGCTACCCTGGCGGTTGGCAGGCAGCTGCCACTTGCCTCGCACTTGCCCAATATCATATTCTCATGGCATGACAGCTGGCCATGACGACGAGCCAAACCTCTTCAGCTTGCAAGAAGAATCTTCTCTTTCCGTATTTCATTTGAATTGCAATTTCCCCTTGAGCCCCTCTCGTTCCCCTTCCTGGTAACTTCGTCAATATCATGAAGCAACTTTATACACGGCATCGCTTATTATAGTCAATCAGCCTTTTACGACTTGACTCGGGCTCCTTTACTCGAAACCTTGTCACCTTCTCTATATGCTCAAGCGTTTGACTGAATGCACCTTCAGAGTATTTTCGCCGATTCTGGCCTCTCCGGCATGACAATGGCGTTTCTACCACCACGGCTGATGCAGCAGCAACCCTATAAACCAACATGCACCCATCTCACCATGACGCGGATTTACGACACGGACTCTAAATGTTCCTCTTGTCATGAGCCCGGTCAGTTTGGGTGGCTCTACCAGTGTACACAGGATCATGAGAAGATGATTGTGGAGAAACTGGTGAGAGGCCTTCCATTGAATAGAAACATCTGGTAGAAATTGGTAGCTAACTGGAAAGCAGCCATGCATGGACTACTTGGATTTCAGCTTTCGCAAGAGCATGGTTATTCGAAAAGGCAGCGCAGAAGCTCGACGCGACAAACTTAGCTTTCTTCAAGAACTCACTCCCGAGCAGATGGCATCCTACCGACCAGATCAAATTGCAACTATCCTAAGACAGCGAGAGGAAGTGAGGCAACAATAGTTTCCTGTAGCCCTGGAAGTATACTAATATCTGTGGTAGTTAAAGGACGTTATTGCAAAGGAGGAACGACAAAAAAGCACCTCGGCTCTGTTTAGCAACCTTCTTCCACCCCTGGGCTTCGAGTCTTCTTTCAATGACAGGGTACAACGGACCTTTGATGAAGACGCCCTTTGCCAGTACAAGATCTGCCAAAGGTGCCGCCCTGTGTGCGTTGATCGGGCATTTTTGAGCCTCAATGCAGTCGCCGATGGCGAGATTACTCCAACAGCTGCTGCCGGTTTTGGATTCGAGTCTCTAGGCGGAAGGCCAGTCATTGACAAAGATGTTGTTAGACATATTGACGAGCACCGCCCGAGAGTGAGTTTAGATCCTCGACCATCAATGGCAGATTGTTGACCAATGCATCCAGCCTCAGATCGGCAATCGTCAAATGATGGAACTGCTTGACGAGCAGATCGCCCGTATGCTCACAAGTCACAATCAGAACCAACCTTTTCGGAACGGGCTTAGGGGTGCAATCTCTGGACTCAGAGGAGCACGGCAGTTGCCTACTGTCAAGAACGTTACTGCAAGAAGGCAACGTATGCGCGACGAGGAGAAGGCCTTGGCCGACGCCGCTCAGGGTGATGCAGAGGCTATTGCATCGACGCCTGACTTACTGGGAAACCCTTGGCCATGGCTGGCTACTTTCCAGGTGCCCGACGAGCATGAAGATGATCAAACCCACGGTCAGCACCCACGACAGAGAGGGCGCGCCACACGGATTCCCCGGTAAGCGTTTAGAGTGATGTTTTAAGCCGGCCTTATTAACAAAGACGGCGCAGTCCCACTACTCCTGGTCCGAGATCCGCACGTCGCCGTTTGACTGATCAACTGTTGTCTAGTACGTCTAATATCCCTCCTCTTGACGGATATTCATGGAGCCTTTTTGGTGGCGCTGAAAATACTGTCTCAACAACCACCTCCTCCCTCAGCGATGCTTCCAATATCAAGTCCTCAGGGGCCGAGAATGAAGGCAACAGTGGAGAACCATCGCCTATGTCACTCGGAACTGGCCATGGTGTTGCGATGACAGAGGAGAGCATTGAGGCTAGAGTTCCCGATGTGGTAACTCAAGTGTAAGGACGATGGTTATGAAAAGTGTGTGCTTGGGAAACCAGTGAGGTTACAAGAGTTGGCGGTGCACTTAAAACTGGTTTGGGGTTTTGCGGCGTTTGAGAGGTTGTCGGACTGGTTGATACTTGGTCGAGCCAGGCTTTGTCTAGAGTCTTGGAACATTTGCTTCTGTGGGAGTATGATTCTTTTGTTAACCTATGATTGGTCCATCTCTACTAATTATCCTTGGAATCCTCCAATATCTTCTTCATCATTTGATTACCCACCACTTTGGCCTCCTCAAATCGTGGTTCAAAGAACTGCTGGGTACTCACGAACCGCTTCTCCCATGTCTCGAAATGTCCCAGGTTCACACATTCGGCCCAGGCCCGTGCTGCAAAAGTGAACTCCAGATCATCGCTACGGTACGTCTTATCCTCAATTGCAGTCTCAATGGCTGCGTCGAGGACATCTTCATTGCGGAACAGGTATTCAGTGACGCCAAGGCGCAAGCGGAAGAGAGGAGTGCTGCAGAGCATGTGATCGTAGGGTACAATGTTGAGCGCCGCCCAGCAGTCGACCATTGCAAGAATCGAGAGATGGTTGTTGGGTCGAGGCTCATCTGTAGGGGTCCCGAGCGAGAAGGACGACAGGATCGACGGCTCAAGCAAGGGGCGTGTGTCCCAGGACGTGGATGGACCAAATACCTTGTCGCGTGCACGGTAGACTCGTTCTCTGAAACCTTCACGGTTTCCTTCGAGCATGAGTTTGTACAAATCGGTGACGCTTCGTGCATACTGTGAGATCTGTTCACTCGCTTCAGGGTTGAGAATAGCAAGGCCAGCGTATACATGCCACTTTTGACTGTAGATGCGCAACATCAGATTGACCTTGACATTCTCAATACCGCCAACATATCGACTCAGCTCCCAAGGAAATTGCTTGTTAGCGTGCCACGCCTTACCCATAGATAAGAAGGCTGCATGGGTGACTGCTTGAGTATCGGCGGTGATACGGTCGTGCTCGCGGGCTGAGAGATGGACAAACTTTGAGCGAAGACAGCTGAGGACAATCTCAACCTTTCGAAGAGCTGAATCTGGGGCGCGGTGTTGGATGAGCACAAGGGGCTGGTTAGTCGGATCAACATTGGGGCCATGAAGTGAGTGGCACGAGATAATATCGACGTCGGCGGGGAGGTGAGCCTCGAAGGCAGCGATCTCGGGGGATTTGCAAGAGGTTTGCCCTCCAACGATGGCACCAAGCTTGGTAGCTAGTCGCAACAGTCAGTGTCTAGATGGCTACTGTTTAACCTCGAGAAGAGACGCTCGAAGGAAACATTCACAAGGGATACAAAGAGAGGGCGCGTACATGGTCCATACTGAGCAATTACACGGTCAATGACGGCGGCCTCGACGCTGTAGATAATATAGTCGCTTGCGCGGGAAACATAGTGGCCATTTCGACAAATTTCTATATTTTTCTATTCGATAGCTTCAGCGACTTGGAGCGAGGCAGAGCAGGCAGGAATCACTGAGCCATACATTTCCAGCATATTCTTTCTGAAGCTTCTCCTGATTCTCTTCTCTGTCGCAGGCCATGATTCTAAAGTAAATCCGCCGTTAGCCACTCGGCATCCGGTACGGGGTAACATTCACAGGGAGAAAGCATCTGTTCTTGTAGTTGTTAGCTTTTGTGTCAAAGCAGAAGTGCTAACAAAATGAGGTAGATGGGTGAAAATTCAGACAGTTGATAATTAAGGTAGCAAGCGTTTACATCATTGAGAGCACAGGTCCGATTCTGATGGCCATAACGGACACCAGGCGTCCCTGAACAATGCTCGAGCCAAATGCGCTCTAGTCATCATGAAAGAGGGGAGGGGGTGTTGAGAAGGAAGAGTTGGCTTACCATTTGAAGAAAAGCTGGAGCTGGAAGTGCGGATCGCAATGGATCCAAGACTTACCTCCAGCCAGCGGCAGACAGCCTTTCGGCATACATCTTGCCCATGTCGCCCATACCAATCAGTCCGACGACGAAGTTCTCCATCCCCTCAGGGACGGGCTGCGATTGTGAAGCCATATTGTCTGCTGCGCGATGATAGCAAGAGCAGGAAACACGAATCACATCCTCTCAAGCGACTGTGCTTTGAAAGAGCTTTGTGCGGAAAGCTCAAAAGGGTGTGTTTGAGAGTGAAGAAAAAGTCAGAGTGAAAAAAAAGTTCGCGACCTTCTTTATGGTGGAGATTTGAAGCGCGTTACGTAAGCCAACGATATTTCGCGTTATAGCGATAGGTGGATCTATGAAGCTACCCACTTCAGCGTCAAGAGAAGTACTCGGAATATCGAGAGGAGCTTTTGGTGACTTGCACTGATTCATTTCATAATTTCGCTTCTTTTGAAAAATGAAGGTCGTGTTTGCGTTAGGCTCAAATGGCTGTGGTCAACTGGGCATTGGCCACAAAGAAGACGTTTCAGTGCCGAAGCAGGTCCTCTTCCACCCTGACCCTCCAACCTCCTCCATTACAAAAGTCGCAGCGGGTGGGAACCACACATTGCTTCTTACGAAAACCGGCCAACTTTACTGGAGTGGTGATCCCACGCCTGGTGCATGTGGATTGAACACTGGTCCAGATGCAGCTGTGTTTCGAGAGATTCAGCTTACCAAGGATGGAGAATCTCCAGTTGGCGAGATTGCCTTGATCACAGCAACCTGGGAGGCTTCTATCATTGTGGCTAAAGATGCAGATGGAAAGAAGACTCGAGTTTTTAGTGTCGGGGCGGGTATGAAAGGCGAACTAGGTCTGGGAGAACTCATCATTCGGACACCATCAGCAACCCAAATTCGAGAATTTCCACCTTCAGGAACAGAAGTTGTCGACCTGGCTGCTTGCATGGGACATGTCGTTGCAGTTCTCGACAATGGTGATGCTTACGGCTGGGGTAATGCGAGAAAGTCCCAAGCTGGTGAGCCGGGTCAAGTACTTCATGCTCCTAGAAAGATCGAGGGCATCGACTTTAAGATCACAAGAGCTGTCTGTGGCAGAGAATTCACATGTCTATTCGGCGACCCACAAAGTGGACACATCAAGGTTCTGGGTTCAGACAAATGGAAAATTCAATCAGGTGCACCCGAGACATGTCCTGGGTGGAAGGACGTAGGCTCAAGTTGGGGAAATATCTATGTACTGGGGAAGGACGGTTCTCTACAAGCCTGGGGACGAGATGATCACGGACAACTACCTCCACCGAATCTACCCGAGCTGAGCAAGATTGCAATCGGCAGCGAACATGTTGTTGCTCTCTCTACCGCAGGCGATGTTCTATCATGGGGATGGGGCGAACACGGCAACTGTGGACCTCAAGTTGAGGATAACGATGTCAAAGGACGGTGGAATGTGATTGCTTCGTCTAAATTCATTCCCCCGGGCTCTAAAATAGGAGAAGTCGGGGCAGGGTGTGCCACCAGTTGGGTATTCATTACAGCTGAGTGAATATACTCGTCTAGATGCCACATCTTTCGTCCTTCATAACATTTTCTTGTCCTCAGTCGGGGAACAGGGCCAGACTTTCGACCTCTGTCAACTTTTGTGTTGGTTCAATGTATGTTGATTCAGCATCTGTTGGTGGCGGATGGGGAATTTCGGCTTGAGGTTCAACAGGAGCAAGGTTCTCCAAGAAGCGGCTCGTGTCCATATCAGAAGCGTTCTACTATATTCAGTACGCGGTCAAAAGAAGGGCTTTTGCAACTTACAGGATCGATGCTATGATCCCATCCCAGCTTAGCATTGTCCTCCGCAAGCTCTTCATCCTCGTAATTGATAGGTTCCCAACCTTCATCCTCAACGAATAGACTCTCGGACCTGTTAGTCGCAGGTGGTGCCGGTCTCTGCGAGGGCCGAAGGTCAAACGCCCCTACGCGCGAGGCGCTGGCTCTAGCAGCGCTCATCTGTGGTGTTGGATTATGCTGAGGCAACGATGGGGGAGGAGGCGCTGGCGCGGGTGCTGGTTGTGACTCTGGAGGAGCCATGCTCGGCCGCCGTGATGTGGCTTCAAGACGCGGGCCAGTATTCTGAGTTGCGTTCTTGCGTCCTTTCTTAGTCCTCTGGCCAGTGTTGGTCCCGCGCTCGCCAACAGTCATGACGAGAAATTCGCATGACATAGCGTCGCCAGTATACGAAAGCTGGATGGGTTGTGTAGGAATTGAGTATCGGGCTGACACATCGTTGCCTGTGATGCCAGCATGTTGAATGATAGCGCGGAAGTCCTTGACGGATATTACAATGTGAAGCTTGTCTTCGACATCAATCTCGTCGAATTCATCCGCTTCGACGGCGATTGACGTTTGGAGTGGCTTTTTCAAGACCGCTATTCAATGTCAGCTTATAGGCAAGCATTTTGTCAAGAGATGCGCACCATCCTCGCTCACAGTCTTCTCACTGAAACAAGTAAAATTCACATGATCTCCATCAGTGTTGATATCGAGGAACTCGATACCAGGGCCAAAGTGATCCATGAGCTGCCGCAATGTGCGTGAAGAGATTGTCCAGTGGTGAGGAGCATCTTGTTTGTTGAATTTGGCATGAACTGGGACAGAGACCTCGAATGGCAGACGGTGTGTGGAAGTTAGTCCATTTCGAAAGATAAGACGTGCGATGAATCGACTTTGAACCCCCTCTCCATCTTCAATTGCAACATCGCATCTGTCGATGAGCGTTTGCTTCTCTGCATCTCTTTGTGAATCAGGGCCCGTACGACTTCGAAATAAGGAGATCAGAGCCTTCAAGTTGTCAGTGAGGAGGTCCATCTATGCCTTGACGGAAGATTGAGCTTACTCGGATATAGAGTGTGCAGTAGAAACGGTCACGGAATTGGTGACTTCCTTGGTACTGGTACCGGGAGAAGAACTTGGTCGTCGCAAATCTGACACTTGCGTAAGCGGATTTTGAGGTGTTGAGGGTAGTGAGAGTAAACTAGAGGTGAGATGTGAGTAATGAGCTAGATGGGAGCCTTCTGGCACATGTTGAACATACTGAATCCTTGCGGGCCTCGAGTGAAACGTCGTCGCTGAACTTGTTCAGGCAGATGAGGGCATCGCGAAAGGCGGAAACACCTTCCTCACTGAGAGTAAAATTGAGTAGCGCCATGACACTTCGAATTGTTCGAATGGCTCATGAAAATATTTCCGTCATGTTTGAAGTCAGTTGTGAAGTCAATGTCTTCAACTTGAAATGGCAGGTACGCGTTCACGCTCAAAGAGCAGCCATGACAAGTCGGAGTTGAATGTGGATCCGGAACTCCACTAGACCTACCCTGTAGCTAATGATCAAAACACCAAGAAAATATATCGTCATCACAGCCAAGATCAATTTTGTGAAAAGTCAAGTTGTATTAGGAGGAATAATCTAATACTTATCCCTCATCCGACCCAAAACTCCTAAGAATCCATTATTGTCGTGTCATCGTTCCAGCGCCGTCAAGACGTTTGTTGTTCCGTCAGAAGATTGCTTAGGTGCAGCCAAGCGACTAACTACTTAGCGACGGAAGCAGCTGAACTTTCCGAGAGAGAATCGCCAAGGGCCCCGTCGGACGCCATGCTTGTCAACATGAACACTGGTGCCGAAATGGCGACCACCGACTCCCTTTGACCAGAAAAGACCCATGATGTTGTTTGTTTGTTTGTTTGTTTGTTGTGCAAGTTTGAAAGTGTAGGTTATCTAGATGGATATCATTAGCTCAGGTATGGTTGACGGAAGGGAAAGGCTTGTATTCACCTTTGTGTTGAAGTTGAAGAGATGTCGTTGAAAGAAGCTTGTTTACGAGGAAAATAAGGTGTTGGGGGGTTGCAGATCAACTTTATACGATATCTCGTTGGCATAACAAGCCCAGTCCAATCGCTGCCTTGGCAGGGACCGTGGCAGAGGCCTCTCTGTAATTCGATCTACGATTCCTTACCAGTGACATCTTTTGGCGCTCAGTGACGTAGGCTTAGTGGCGGTGTTAAGGTCACGCCACACATGATGTACGTGGTACAGGTTGCCCTCTTTATTCTTTATCACTTTGTTTCTGGCTGAAAGAACTTACAAACATGAACACACTTTGAAATAAAGGTAACATCTGCAAATTGGATAAATTATTTCGCAAGTTATCTTCCATTACTTGTTTGTCTCCACTGAGGTTGATTAACAGTATAATCTTCCTTGGCGGCATATTTTTAAGCGACTAAGGAGGCCCTCACGGAGCAAGAAAACTGAGGATCTCTACCCTAAGAGATAGAAAGATTTAGGTAAATTTAGGGTTGGCGTAGGAGACCTCTAGATCAGTTATTTTGGCACTTGGGATAAAGGTCCTAAGTTTTCTTGCCTCTCCTAAAGGGAGGTTCTAACATGGGTGTTCCAAAATCAAGCTTGACGCATGTAAATCTTGCCTCCTTCCATCCAAGTGAAACACCATCAACGAAAAGCCACGATAATCTCACCCTTAAGCCTTCGATATCTACGCGTCAACACTCTTCGATTTTACCGCACAAGTGAAGCGTTAAAGTGGCTCTGGCGCTTGTAACAACAAGGAAACGGGTTTCGCGCCCAACCTTGTTCTTTCATCAGAAAATGACAGTTAATGGAGTTCTCAACGACCAGATTCCTCCCATTGCCTCTTGTTCGCAGATTACTGATCATAATATTGCTCTTATTAGGTTGCTGTTCACTTCCCACCCTTAACCAGCCTTCTAGTACAGGCGCCTTGCTAACTGGTGCGAAGGGATGGTACAGCAGAAGTCTCTGTTCAGGCAAGGCCGTTATTGGATGTTAGTGCGTCCTTTGCGAGAACACAGCTTCTCAGTGCTGAACATTTACTGAAGTCCATCACAATGAGATGCCAAAGAAAAGAAGAACAGTGTATCTCCAGTCTAGTGGCAGACGAAATCATGGCATACATAAATAGCCCTTGGAAGCAATTAAGGCATTTATCATCCCCAACTGCTCACTCAGCAGCACACAAACGAGTAAACCAACACCTGAAAGCAACTTGTCAAAATGGCCGATTCTTCCCCTAAGACTCCTGCTGAGACTCCCACCAACGACCAGCAGGGTCTCCGCCGCTCAAGTCGCTCAAACCGTGGTCAACTCAGCCAGAACCACTTTCTCCTACAGCACTATGTTGTAGGAGAAGAGGCAGCTCGCCCGATTCATGGGCCTGGACGTCGCCGTGCCATCGCAAAGCCTGAGGCTGATGATGATGATGAGTCGGCTCCGCTGGCACAGTCAGCGCCCACAGCTTCCAGCAATACACGTCGGCCTAGAATGCAAAGCCCGAGCAACAATTTTGCCAATTTCGGGAGCCACGAGAAGACACCAGCCGGCTCTACAGGGGAAGTAGCCTTGATAACCCCTAGGCGAGGCAGTGTCCCAGCTTCTTGTACTCTTACACCCTCTATTCAACAGATTGGCGATCGTCGCCGAAGTGCCTCTCCTCCCCAGTTTGCTTCTTCAAACATGAGAGATCGTCAAGACCCGGCCCCCCAGCAGCAGACAATGCCCGCTTTCCCATGGGAGCCAGCCTTTCAGTATGGCTCTCAACTGTCTCCTCAGTATCAGAGCCTGGGGCAGCAGAAGATCCCATCTCTTATAATGTCCGTGCAGCCCGGTCAGATGGCTCCGCACCAACACTTCGAGCCGCAAACTCAAGAATCTGTCTCCGATGCCCCCGGAGTCTTTGTGAACCCAGAGGATTTGATGCTAGACACACAGGATCTGGTGAATCCACAGACGAACAATATTCCGAAATCTGAAATTCCCCAGTTTGCTGGACTAGTTGACTCGTATAATAAACTTCACGAGGAACGTCGAGTACAGGAAGCACGAGACCGTCTGGCTGCACAGGAGGAAAAAGATAAAGCGAAAGCGGCGGAGGCGGAAGAGATGAGCCAGGAAGAGATGGACGCATTATGGGATCAGTTCATGAATCCTGATGCTTTCGAATGATACCATTCACAAGGTAAGCCCACCACTAACGTGATATTACTGACGTTTCTTTTTCAGAGTTCTCTTATGTGAACGGCAGATTTCACCACCAAAATTGGTAGTTTATTTCACAGGTATGTCTTCTTTCAATGACAGAATAGCTTGGCTCGTGTGGGATCTGCTTTTGATAGTGCAAATCATCGGCGGATAAAGGCAGGGACTTCGCCTCTTATACGCCCTTCGGTACGGTAGGTAACGGTAGGTAAAAAACAAATAAAACTCACAAGTAAGTCTTGGACCATACTCAGCCCCTAAATCAGCCTCACGTGAAGTATCTTGCGTGACTTATGAATCAATCCGCTGTAGTCGAGCGGCTACTTGGAATGAAGTGTCTTCCATCCTGCAGCGACCAAACTCTCAGGACCTGCTCGATCGCCAGCACCCGTCCAGTAAAACAGACCGCCCAGGCACATTGCTTTGGCATACCTCGCCTTGACACAAACCGTGCTAGGAACATCGAACGAGACAAAGCCTTTGTCTCCTTTGGTATCGACAAAGGATGCCGCTGCAATGGATTCTTCGACCTTAGCGCCTGCTACCCATTCATCCGGTAAATCGCAGTAGTCAATCTCGCCTGAGCCCTTGAAAGGATGGCCTGGTCCACGAGCCTGTCCAAAATATCTGGCATATACTGGAATGCCGAGGATGATCTTACGGTTGGGGAAGCCCTGCGAGGTCAGGTAGTCGACGCCGCGCTGGCACGACTTGCGAAGGGCGGGGTACACCTCGTTAAGGTTGTTGCTTGGAGGCAGAAGCTGCGCATGATGACCACAGACGTCGGTCCAGCCGCCTGTGAAATCGTAGCCCATGAGGTTGAGGAAGTCGAGAAGTTGCGCTACGACTGGTAAGTTGAGATGTTTGAGGCAGTACTCGCCAGTGGGAAGAGCGCTTGTCAGCAGGTATTTGGGAGCCGGCATGGTCTCTCGGATGGCCTGGAGGTACAGAACATAATTCTTTCCAGCTTCTGGAGTTTGAGGGTGCTCCCAGTCAACTGTTACTAGTCAGCTCTGGAATAGCTTTCAACTGGATATTAACATACTGTCAACTCCATCGAAATGATGGGCGTCACAAAACTCCTTGATCTGGCGAGCAAAAGTTTGTCTCGCTGCTTTGCTTGCTGCAAGTGCAGGAAATTCCTTACTGCTAGAGCCACCACCAATCGAGACGAGTGTCTTTATATGAGGGTGCTGGCCTTTCAACTTGCGAAGTGCTGCGAGACAGCCCTTTTCGCCATCAACTACTTTATTGTTGTCGCCCCAATCATCGATGGACTACAGATGAAGTCAATGAACAGTATACAGGGTTTCGAGTGGGACTACGTACTCGAAGTGTACCATCCTCGTTAACACTGCTTGCATTAGCTTGAGAGAATCATTGTGCTTTGGAAACATACCCGACAAAGGCGTAGAATATGTGAGTGATTGAAGCAGTGTCCAGGCATGAAGGAGGACGCTCTTTGTAGCAGCGCCACGAGGGATAGTATACAGCGTTGATGTATTGGTTCGACATTTTGTACAGACGCAAATAACAATGAAGAAGCCAAGAAAGAACAAAAAGAAGAGGCCTTATAAGAGAATGCTTTAGGTACCAATAAGCAATAGTTTCATGCTGTACAGAGACTCAGCCCAGTAATTGACCCACAGGTGGCTGTGGTTGATGATTGGGCCTGGTCTGTTTTCGTTGGTCCAAGAGTAGTCGATGATTTATTGGAAGAGGCGTTTGCGGAGCGATTTGAAAAAGAAAAACTGTCTTATTTATAGTTGTCACGAAAGGAAACATGAGATCATCGGGCACCAAAGAAGAAGCGGAATTGGCAAGAAGTGGCCAGCCAGCCGACCAGTATGAATTCAGTTGCCACTTACACAAGCCATCAGCAACAACAGCTTTGCATAAACGCAATGCAGTGTGTTTTATGCAATACGATACATAATTTATTGCAATATTGACAATCTATGGATATCTGCGTTGCCGAATTACGTTTGCCATACTATGAATCATTGACACCACCTCTCAATCTCAACTCCATCCAGCTCATCCAGGATATCAAAACTCATACCCGCCTGCCTGGAAGCCACAACAATGATATCAAACTTTCTCAGGACATCGTTCCGCCAGTCTTCATCTAAGAGACGACGTACTTGAGGTAGTGCAGATTGCTTGACCAGAGAATCTGCCCAACATACATCCACTTCTCGCGAAACAGCGAGACTCTTGACGAGATCTGCTCCTGGGGAGTTGTCAATCTGTGACTGGCCAGCTTTGAAGCCCATACCCACTACAAGGACCCGAGGTGTTCTTACTGTGACTCTTTGTCTCAGTCTCTTGAGCATCCTCTCGGCTAGTCTTGATGGTCGAGAATGCATCGCAAGTGTAGCGTACTCGATCAAAGGGAAGTGACTATTTGACAGGAGGTAGAAGGGGTTAACTGGGATACAGTGTCCGCCCACGCCGACACCAGGAGAATACGGCATATATCCGAATGGTTTTGTAGAGGCTGCCTCGCAGACTTCATATGGGTTGATGCCGTGTGGGATACATGCATCTGCCATTTCATTGGCATAGGCGATGCAGACCATTCTCTGGCAGTTTTCATAAAGCTTCATCATCTCGGCTACTTCTGGCTTCGAAACAGGAATAACGGTCTCGAAGATAGTAGAATAGATTCTGTTTATCGCGTCGAGGGAGCCTGGGGTGATATCGTCCAAGCCTGAGATGATCTTTGGGATGGACTGGACAGGAGGTTCGACGCGGCCAGGATCAACTCGCTATGAATCATTAGTATATGAACCCAAAAATAGGAACGAAGGAAGACTTACCTCAGGAGACATGCCGGCGAAGAACTGGCGGTTGGCAGCCAATGGACCGAGTAGTTGACGGGTCATACCGATCGCCACAGAGCTTTCAATCACGACCGTTGACCCAGAACGAGCCACTTCACCCACAGTCTTCAACGCATCACGAAGATAGGATGAGTCGATGGTTTTGTCAGGCCTGAGAAGTGTTGGCACTGATATCAGGAAGTGCGTAGCTCTTCGCAAGTCTTGTGAGTCCCTGGAGAGACAAATGTTCTCATGCTCTTGATACTCAAGACCAAGGTCCTTGATTCTCTTGGCAGAGACATCAAACCCAATGACTTGATATTTTGAGGAGAATGAGCTGACCAGATGTGTGCCGACATAGCCAACACCAATGACTGCAATGACTGGCTCATCGTTCTGGCTGACCTCGACAGACCGACACAGTGACTGATCAAGATCATCTGTATCTGACGATGGAAAGCTCAGGGGAGGGCTGTCAGGATGAACAGTAAAGCTATTATCGAGACGCTTCCAAGGAGAATAATCTCCGGGAGGTATCAATGGAAGGGTTTCCTTCTCGACCAAGGCTGGGAGATTAGCCATCGGCTTTGGTGGCATTACTTGAGCCATTGCTGTTGAACAGATAAAGAAGATATGGTAAATAATGAGGTATAAGTCAAAGCATGAACGTAACTGACCGACATTCTGTGAAGAGACATCTGGTTATATGACCTCAGCCATTGTACTTCCATGTTCCAAGCTCTATTGCTCAAGATCCCTAGCTTGTGCTTGGTTCCTGAAGATCACTCATCTTTCTCACAACAACACCGAAGCGAACCGCCTCTCTCAACGGTGTTTCCACGATGAGATCATCACTCTCATGAAACAAACTACCTCTATCGTTTCTACCAATTTTCTAATCACAACGCTAATCCATAGGAACTAAAGGTATCCAATCGCGAGCATTAACCAAAATCGTCCGACTTTAGATTCAATCTCCTAGCTCAGCATTCCAGTCGACGTCGATTTTTTCCATGAGGAGCCTTGAGAAGTCGATCATCCCGATATAGTAAAGTGTCTCAGCTAAGGAGATAAACGAAGGAAGCTAAGTCAGGAGCTGTTGGTCTTGGCAGGACTTCTGCAAGGGCAACACGAGGTTATATTGGGCCAATTCTGACGCCTCCCGAGGGGCAAAGCTGGGAAACGTTGGAAAAATGGTGTTTTAGGCGGTTTCCTTATGTTGGCGCATCAGTGGCTGTAAGCTCTGTTGCATGTTTTAGAGCGTGACTAGATTAGTCGCATCCACTTTGTTTTCTGTTTGTTAGTTAACCTTTGTTAGTTTCACCGTTCACTCCTTATGATGTTGAGGCACCTCGAATCGAGGGGATGTGTGTTAACGATCATGCGATGTTAATTGAATATCAAGAAGATCACTTTATTGACCTCGATTCATAGGATGGAAACGTTCTTCGCCGTTTAATTTCGGAGAGCAATAAGACACTACGGTAGGTATCTATGGTGAACAAGAAACTAGCACTGGACGACACTCCGAAATATCGCCATGTCTAGAATATCAATGATCTTACACCCATGCTATTTGTAATATTCAGCTCTTAGCCCATATAATCGACTGGTTTGTCCATCATTATGTCATTGATGTTTGCTGTATTTCGGAGCTTCTCTCCGCGGTAGGCGTGAATACGCCGAGCCCGAATTCCGTAATCACAATCCCATGGTGTTTCTGTACGAGGTCAAAGCCATAATTTTAAGACTGACTAGACAGTCCTAAAGATTCAAGCTATACAAGCTTAAGACTTTGCTCTGGATCGACACATGGAAAACTTGTTTGCCATTGACCCGGCCCTTCAACACCAAGACTCCACCCACAAACAAGAAATTTAAGCATGATGACGCCTCATGAGAGCATATGGACGAGATATTGCAAATAAATCTAGTCTGTAATCTGTAGACGTACTGTTTGATTGGGTTCCCAGCTTTCTTACCGAGTTTTCATGGCGTTTGGCTCATGACTGTCGATATTCACGACTCACGCCAAGTTCCACTCACGTCTCCATGGTATAAAAAAGAAATATGAACTTACGTATAGCCTCATACAGCTAGTTAATCATCTACATTAGGCAAAAATTTAACATTCTCATTACGGCTGGAGAGTCTCTATCCGGTGAGGAACACACCCTCTTTCACAACTTGGGAGGCCTAAAGACAAGGACTAGCTAATTCAGGTGAGTGGACAAGCTCAACGGGAGTTCCTAAATAAGTTGAAAGTTGCAGAGAGCTGAATAATCGGCTAGAGAGTGTTGGTTTGCCTCCAACGATCCCATGGGTGCATGGCTAACGAGGGAAGTGGTGGGCACCACAAGACTTGGTAGAAGGTGACGGGCTCAGGCAAGCTGTCACAAGCTGTCAAGCGACACAAACTTAGCTTAGATACTATGCATACGATATAAATGAAGAACATTGATACAATAATGAGTAACCAGCAATTATAAGAGACTTTACTTGTAAGGCCTGACTTCCACATTCCAACATGGAATCTCACTAGAAGGTTTACCGCATTCCAGGTAACCCAGATATCTGGTTTCAGAGAACGGTTAAAAAGTTTCTCTCAACTGCCGGACGTTGCAAAACTTTGCCAATCCGATCGAGCTGGTTCCTCGATCGGTGGAGCAGAAAGTCTCGCGTCTTGGCCTGCGAGAGAATAAAACGGCCCTCCACCTGACGGCGTGACGTTGGTGGCATCAGAGTCAACACCAGTTTCGACGGCAAAGGAACGTTTGCCTGATTAGCAAACTACTCTTCTTTAGTTTGCGTTTCGAATTACTTAGTAGCGGGTTTTCTAATCTGGTCATGATCATCATCGCGATCAACTTCGGACAACCCGCTCAGTGTAAGACGAAGCCCCGTTTGGACTTGGTGATAGGGGTCAAAACACAAGCGATTATGAAGAGAAAATTTTGATTCACGCGTGGAGTTGATCGACGTCAGTGGAAGATGTCTGAGCTCGTGATCGCGTCAGAGTTGACGGGTGAGAAGTTGGCAGACCGGGCAGCATGGAGCTCGACCGAGGAAGAGAAAGGAGTGTTTTTTTATGATAGGGGTGAAAGATCGAGTAATGATGCTTATGTTGAGCTTAAGTCTCAGTATAACTCATCTCTTGATGTAGAAGTTGTCTGCTCCTTGCTATCTGCTCTAACTTCTCCTTCATCCGTTTCAAGAACCATTGTCTGCTTGTACTACCAACAACATGGCGAATTTGCATGTTTCAGAAGCTGATACTGCTAAGAGGACTGTAAGTTAACTCTCTCATTATTAGGGCCTTGCTAACATGCAACAGAGTAACTCCTGGAGAAGCCCAACCCATCAGGAAAAGAGCTATCCCCCCCTCCCCTCGTTCTTTACCAAGGGTTCAAACAACAAATATGTTCTCAAAGACAATGATGGCCACTTCCATGATGTATCTCTGGGAGATATCCTGGAGAGAACTAGTCAAGACGACGCAAGATCGTCTGATGAAAGCGTTGGCCCCTCATTGTTCACTTCCTCCCTCTCATACAAGTCTTCCTTTGCCCAGGCATCCGTCTCCCAATTCTCGTCCAACCTTCCCACTAAGCCGAGTAGCCCTTCTCTTGGAGAGTCTTCTCGCAAAAGAGACCTCATAATTCCTCGTCCAAAACTACCTGAACCAGTAGCTCGACGACGGGATAGCGGGTCGGTGTATAGCGTTGAAGATGTCTCGATCCAGGCCGTTGACTACACTGCGACTTCCACTCAAACCTCTCCCCGCAACTCAATCCTGAAGGAGAATGCCGCTCCTGCTCCCAAGGTTGAGATTGACTCTGAGTCTCAGAACTTGGATGAGTACCTGAGGAAGTATGGTCAGAGGAAAGTCACTCGGCAAAAGCACATCATGACTGCGTTTCTGATTTCTGTCAAGTAAGTCTCTCAACACTCCTCGACAAGATAAAGACAATTCTGACATCATGAAGTTTTATGTTTATCTTCGCCTCCTGGTGGTGGCCTCGCTATTACTATGTCTACATCCCATTCATCTCATTCCCCCTTGTTCTCAACTGCGTCATGATTGCCTCCATCATCTGTTTTACTCTCAAGAATCTCATCTTTGCTGAGAAGATAATTGAGCCCGATCACCTTGAAGATCTCATAATGGTCATGCCTTGTTACAATGAAACCCTGGAGGAATGTACCAAATCTCTAGATTCCCTGGTTGATCAAGTTGGCATTGACAACCACAAGAGAGGTATCATGGTCATTTGCGACGGCCGTGTCCGCGGCCCTGGAATGGAGAAAACGACAGCCCAGTACCTCAATGAAGACATTTTTGTCGAGCAACTCCACCGTGAGAAGATCGCCAGAGCTTATAGAGCTTGGGATGGCCAAGCCATGGATGTCGAGATCTCATGGGGTTACTATAAGGGCGTCCCATTCTACTGCATTGTCAAAGAGCAGAATCAGGGGAAACGCGATAGCCTCATTGTTATCCGCTCGATTTTGTACAAATTCAACATCAGAAACACCAACCCCACGACCATATTTTCTTCGCAATTTCTGCTCTCAATGACTGACTGGCTTACACAAGAAGTCAAGGTCAATCAAGTGGACCATTTGATTGGCATGGATGCAGACACCATTTTTGACAAGGTCTGCATTTCAGAGCTGCTCAAAGAATCAAAATACCCAAATACTGTGGGCGTCTGTGGCTATGTTGCGGTCGATTTCAAGGACGGCAATTGGAATCTGTGGTCAATCTATCAGAATGCCGAATACACAATTGCTCAAGGCTTGAGACGACTGCATCAATCCATTGCCACGAAAAAGGTCTCATGCCTGCCAGGATGTTGTCAGCTGCTAAAAATCTGCGACATGACTTGCGGTGACAAGGTCCTTGTTGAGCTGTTTGGATATTATCCTAGACCGCTTGATGGCATGATCACACGCATCCGAGCCACCGCTTCTGAAGACAGAAATCATATCTGTCAGCTTCTTACAACATTCCCAGAGGCGCAAACTCGACAAGCTCTGAGAGCTCGAGCGTACACGGATGTTCCTCATTCTTGGAGTGTTTTCCTGTCCCAACGCCGCCGGTGGACACTTGGAGCTACAAGCAACGATTTGTTGTTGACAACAGCAAGACATTGCCAATGGTGGGAACGAATTCTTGCGTTTTCTAATGTCCTTACTTGGTGTCTCAATGTCTTTGTAATTGCTTCTATCGGATGCATGATCGTTGCTTTTATGCATCAGCCGTGGTGGATCATCTTGGCCTTTGCAGGCATTATGATCGTACCACTCATCTACTACGTTATCATGGCTGTCTGGCTCCCTCAGTCGATGCTGGAAAGATTTCAGTATCTTTTTGGCCTTTTCATATTCGTTGTTCTCGGACCATTTTTGAATATTGCAGTCATGGTATTTGCTGTTTTTAACATGGATAGCTTTGGCTGGGGCAAGACTAGGAAGGTCATCGCTGAAACCCCTGACGACCAGGTCCAGGAAAAGCAAAGACTAGAGGACTCTGGCAATGGCTCAGTCTCACCGCAGCTGAATAGCGGAAGTAACCAAGTTGATGAGACTGCAGCGGGAGTAACAGTCCGGAGGCCGACTGTAGTATACGTGCCGCCAATTGCTCAACACCGGTAGTTCGGCTATAGTTTGCAGTAGTTGAACGCCAAAGCCACAATACGATAGACTTAAAACTTCTAAATGTTAATCCTAGTCTTGATTAAGCCTCAAGTATGGGTGCATAGATAGCATTCAAGATGTATGTAACGTAACGTAACATGCACACCCACATGTATATCCTCAGATCTATCAACTGCTTAAGCCTCGAGTCTAACAAAGACACCCCTGTAAATTCCCCAAACCG